TCACCCTACAAGTCTCCTTACACTTGCCCCCTAGTTCTCTCCCCTATCCCCATGGCACATGGCAGCCAAGGTCATGGTTACCCCTCACCACTTCCACCCTGGGAGCACCACAGCAGAGCAGCTCAAAGAGTGAATGTTCTCGTATCTGCTGCTCCAGGAGGCCACAGCAAAGGGAGAGGAGAATATTGATCAGGCACTGATGTTTCCAGTCCTGAAGATGACACAGTTTACTGGCCACTCACCCCTGCACAAGGCACACCAAAGGATCCCTCCTCATGGACACTAAGCCACCCACCAGCTACTATGGAGCACAAGCAGATTTAGAACAGCAGCACACCAAGCAAAGCTCTCAACTCTTCACAGAGCCAACACAGAAGAAGGAGTTAACATCTCCTTCTCTTCCCCTTTGCATCAGAGCCCATCCCACAGCCACAGGCTCTCCTGCAGCCCCAGGTTTTCACGCACTGCAGAGCCTGAGAGTTCCCCTTGAGGGATGCAGCACAATAACGTACCGGCTGGGGATGAGTGTGCAGGAAAAGAGCACGGCTGCAACGGAACCATGGGGTTTGCTTACCTCGTGGGAAGTGAAAGGGACCAAGATTCCTATCCCCCCCGATAAGGTGGTGTAGACAAGAGATTCGGAGCCTCCTGGGATCAGCGTGGTCTTCTGTAAGGAAAGCACCGTCTCTCCCACATGGTAATTCATAATCACTTCAGCCTGAAAGTCAACCGCAGAAGCATGGGTTTGGTTTGGGGTTTTTTTTGCTTATACAAAAGCATCAAAAGGCTTGAGAGAGGAAAGCAGAATAAATTCGGCCACCTGCTAGTTCTGAAATGCCTTTCTAAAGAGGAAGTGCCTTCCACCTGTGACCAGATGGTAAAACTCAGCATGCCACTGAACTACCCTCTTGAGCTGGACAAACGGATGCAAGTAATGAGGGAAAGCAGGAAAAGAAACAAGCGTGCTGCTTCAATCCAACCTCACTGAACAGGCATCGGCTGCCATTTCAGAAACTGAATCTGGCTCCTAGTGACAGTGAAAACCCATGACCCGCAGCACTGTAGATGTGTAGGAGCAGAACTGCCAATACATCTCCTGGACAACACTGCAGAGGGTTTCACAGAAAAGCAGTGTATTCTCTTCCCACAAAGCATTACCTTCTGCGACGCTCCATTAAGAAGTCCCCTGTCCCACAGCGCTTTGTTGCCTGTGGGATCCTCATCTACCTCATCGTTGGTGTTGGGAGGCAATCTCACCTGTGTGGGAAGAGGAGGAGAGAGTCAGCAAGCTGCAGAGAAGCAGCACACATCTGGAGAATCCCTGGGATCTTTGAAAGGCTGCTTTTGTGGATTCTACAAGAATCACTTCATGCTTACAGCAAAATCATCCCTTTGCCGCTCCAATAAGGCCTTTAGAGTTAAACAACAACTGTGCTGTAAAGACTAATGGCTCAAAACCATGGGCAGGACCTCAGGACTGGCCTCAGCCTGGCCTGGCACTTGCAGATCACCCTGGGAGGTATGGTCAAAACAGTTTGAAGGTGGTTCCCACTAAGAAGAGTTTGATGGACGTAGGGCAGGAAAACCAAAGAGGATTGATTTGTGTGCCTGGGCCAAATCCTGCAGGCGCGGTGTCTGACATTTGCTGAACTCTGCACTCCAAAGCACCCGAGCACGCTTCAGACAGAGATCAAAGCTCTGGCAGAAAGACCATCTATTCTTTCCTCCTCCCCTGCTGAAATCCAGCCAAGTGGGGAAGTGTCAGCACTGACAAAGCCGGCTTTCAAGAGGAAGTGACAGAGAAAGCTAAATGCCAGCCACAAAGGTTTAGCCAGGGAAAGTAAGAGTGATAACCCTGACACAAGTTCTCATGGGCTCTTTCACAGTCACAAGCTTCATTTTGCAGCAAGTTTTGGGGGCAATTTCAACACAAGTTATTGAATGCTTCAGAAATGTATTTTTTAACCTACTGATGTTTTAATTTGTTTGCTTTAATTAACCAACTGATAAACTGCAGTCGTCTGCGATGACGACAGCTAGTCACCCTGTAAAAACAAGTGAATGGTACAGGGCGTTGCCTCCAGCTAGGCACAGATTCTCATTCTTTTAAGACAAATCATGGATGTTTTAAGGAAAAATACATAGTGTCCAAAAAGCCCCGATTTCTTCAAGGCACACTCACCACGCAGATGTTGCCAAACTTGTCTGCTCCAGCCACAGTGTCATAATCCAGGAGAGTTGCTGTAGTGACCCACCGGGGATAAGTGTCATCAGCAAAGATGATGAGCTGGTTCTCATTCCTTTTGTAGCGCACCCAGATGAAACTCTCCTGAACGTCTGAAACAATCACTCTGTGCCCAATGGTTTGGATCCCACAGATGTAGTTGGCAATGTGCTTTTTGAGAGAGAAAAGACAAAACCTGAGTGTGTCAAACAGGGAAGCATAACCCATTAATTCGACCTTAATCCAGCTGAAACACTATCTCCCCCTGTGAACTATGGCTCACTCCTCATTTCCCATCAGTTCCTCCAGAATTACCTCCCGTTTCTGGCATACTACAGCCCCAATCTAAACAGACTGTCAATACAGGCCTTTGCAAACTAACACCCACCACGCGTCGTTCTCAGCCTGCTGAATATGAATAACGTTCAGAGAAGAAGCTCTGCTGGTGACTGAGACGCCAGGGACAGTCCTGCAAGCAGGCACTGTTTCTGTGTCCCTTCACCACTATGGTCATGAAAGACCCAAGAAGGAAAGCTTCAATTTTTCATTTAAGTCATATTTTAGGAAAACAAACAAACAAAACCAAAACAAAACACCCAACACACACACAAAAATGTTCCTCTACAAGTTCCCAGTCTGCCTGGGAGCTCGCTGGAGTTCCTTTGTGCAGGAATGAGTGGCTGGCACAGGTTCTGCAGCTTGCACGGGAGAGGGAAGAGCAGGCTATTAAGATTTAGAAAACCATGCTCTGTAATTTCTTTTCCTAAAGTACCAGCGATGTTTATCAAGGACCGTTTACTTCAAGGACAAAATTCCTTTTTCAAGATTCCAGGGATCTGAAGAGGTGCCTGTATGCATCCTCCAACTTCTGTCCCCAGTCTTCTGACCACATAACCTAAAAACACCTCCAGCAGCTATTTGGTATCTGGATAAGACCTCTCACACTCGCAGCAGATTCTTTTCCTAAAGTACCAGCGATGTTTATCAAGGACCGTTTACTTCAAGGACAAAATTCCTTTTTCAAGATTCCAGGGATCTGAAGAGGTGCCTGTATGCATCCTCCAACTTCTGTCCCCAGTCTTCTGACCACATAACCTAAAAACACCTCCAGCAGCTATTTGGTATCTGGATAAGACCTCTCACACTCGCAGCAGATGGGCAAAGGCATGGTCTGTACAGGCACGATGAACTCCTGCAGAGGGGCAGCACGACAGCCTGGTCCAGCCAGAGCTGCCAACACTGCTCCGGATGCACACACCCACCACACTCCAGCAAGGCACAGACACGGCTCTGAGGTCCAAGTGCACAGACTTGGGCTGGAGTAGCAGCTAAACCCCCGTCTCACTCCTGCTGCAAAGCATCACGCGCTCCAAATTAACAGCTCTGGTCAAGAACAAAAGCCAGTACCTTATTCTCACACTTCCGAAGCAGTTTCTTCTTGCCCAGGTCATATACACGCAAGAGCTTTCCGACTCCAATTAAGACTCTACCCTGGAACGGAGCAATGGCTGCAGGAACCTCCTCCACGGGGGTCTAGAGAGGGAAGAGGAAGACTGTGAGATGCCTGTTAACGGAGCTAACCTTACATCGAGCTTCAGAATGGATCCAGCTAATGGTTCGGTTGAATCTCGTTGGCCTGTGCCAAAGCTTTCAATGTAAAAAGCTAATCACGTAAGAGGCAGAAGGTCAGGCCTCCGTAGGCATTTTGACAGCAGCACATACCACACGTGGTTCCAAGAGCTCTGGGTAGTACACAGGTAACACACTGAAGCGTGGGACTGCTGTAAGAACCCCACACTGGGCAGGCAGCAAAAGACAACAAGGGTCTTGTTGCCTCGGCTCTTTAGTTTTTGATTTATCCCCAACAGAAAGATTTTATGCTTTGCCCAAATTCATCCAGATTGTCTGTTTCTAAAACAAAAGGCATGAATCTAATTCAACCATCTGCCACAGATGCTCTGAAGCTGCCACTGAAGAAAGTGTTAAGTGGGAACAATTACAGTGTGCCCACAATTCCAGTAACTCAGGGATGAAAAACCTCCCACCGCTCATCAATCCAAAAGGATCAGCCACAGCAGAGAACGGGTATGTGTAGAGAGCTTCCAGTTATGGCACTTCTAGCTTGGTTGCACTGGCTAAGAGAAGTCATTTCACATCATCACCTCTGTCAACTTCCACGTAGGTGTTCAGTGGCACCAGAAAAGGTCCTGGTCCAGGACAGAACCCACTCATTGCATCAGGACCGTAGGAAGTGAATAAGCCACAACATTCCTTTCCACATGCTCATTTGCTCAAAACTCAGCCATGCTGGAAGCATATGGCAGGGAGAACAGGATTTTGTTTTAACAGAATTCTGCAGAAACCCTTGCTAAAGCCCCAGAGACCTGTCAAGCCAAGTCGGTCACTAGGAGACTAATTATTTCTACACACAACCAACAGAGCATCAGAGGAAGGATGACAGCTCCCACCAGCTTCATGTGACCAGCCAAGGACCGGGAGCCTTAGCACCAAGGCTCAAGTGACCCAAGTATGAGTTTGCTTTGTAAACAAGTGCTCAGAGTAGCTCTCTGAGCTCATATTCCAAAAAGAAAACAGAGCTGTTCCTCTCCCCTCCCCAAGAGGGGCAAGAAAAACACTGCTCCTTTCCCATTTCCCCAATTAGATGGATAAGACTATAGCTAAGGCAAAGGAGTGGGACTCTTGGGAGATCTGTGTTCAGTCCTCAGCTCCGCAAAAGATGTCCCAAATGTGTAGTAGACAACTTATTTCCTCCAAAGCTGCTTCCAGTGTGTAACATCAGCCCAGGATTCACTGAGTACTGCAGTATTACCACAGCATTCAGGGTGAACAGCTACTGCAACACTCCACCTGTAAACAACCCACTCATCCCTCTCACCTTGTGCAGGAACTCCAGCTTCTCACCGCTATTCACCAGCTTGTACGTGTAGACAAATCCCCCAGCAACCGAGCGTGGGTTCAGAATCAGGTCCTTGGCGACTCCCACCAGCACGTACCAGTCATCACCAGTATTGGAGAAGCGGCACACAGCCACACTGGGAATGACAAGACACGTCAGGAGATCAGGGTGATCATAACACAAACGAACGCTGCACACACACACACAGACTGAATCCTCTGACAGCACAACCTGCACCCAACCGGGGAGAGATTCGGGAGCCCAACCTTCCAGCACTGACATTTCATTTTCAGAGGTCTTTTTTTTTTCCTCCTTGCAGGAATGTTTAACACAGGTTCCTTCATTTTTCCACACTCCCCATATGTATTATGCTGCAGGGGCCACACATGCCCAAAGCATTACTTTTACGTTTTCACAGGCTGGACACTGCCTAGCAACATGCAAAGCTCCATTAGAAGCTGTTTTTCAAAGGCTGTTCCAATTTGGACATGCACATATAACCTTCTTCATCTTCCAGTGTTATTTCCTGCCCAGTGCCTAGCTCAGCCAGGTTGGGAATCCTGGACAAAACAGAGTCAGCCTTTTGGACTAGCATGACCTAACTCCACTTCACCTGCCGAGGCACTCACTATTCTTTGTGGTTATTGTGTTGGTCTTCCCCTCTAACACTTCCTTTCCATTTAATCTATGCTCAGTTTATCTGGATCAGAAGGGGAAGTGAGAGATAGCAGCACATTCCCTTGTTCCCAGCTCTCTTATCTGTCATTTAACATCCTCGTGTTGCTCTTTAAGTACTGGGGTTCAGCAAACACATCTGGAGCACCAGCTCTTAGTGTCACATGCAGACAGATCAGGGTGGGAAGGGAAGGCAAGATAAAAGCTTTAAGCACATGGCAATCGCTTCTGGAATTTCAAGCCAGCCTCTTGACAACATGCTGCATCTCGGTTTCAACTGAGTAACAGCTGAGCAAAAGAAGGAAAGAAACCACGTAAGACTCATCACAAGTTCTCGCTGCATCTGGCAATGCTCCTTACCTGAAGGCAGCTTCGTTCTGCTCTAGCTGGACCAGATCTAATGTATTTCCCTGAATGGGGTTCATCACCCTGATAACAGAGGCCCACTGTCCATTCCCTGCCTTGGGAGCACCAAAGATGGACTCGGGAAGATTCTCATTCAGAAAGGCTGCAGCCATCTCTGCAGCCAATTCCCTCTCATCTTCACCCGCAGCCTCCACCATTTCCTAGAGCACATGAAAGGACAGGAGAAAAACAACAGCTCAGTGGATTTCCTTTCCAGACATGCTGATGCTCCACATAGAATATAAGCTCCCCGTCTCCCCTAAGCCCAGGTATTCCAGGGCAAGGTACTGCCTGTGAAGACATAAAAACCACCAAATCCCAAAGCTTCTACCCATCCTGAGCTTATTCTCAAGGAAGCCACTGCAGCTCACAGTAGTGTGAGCTGTGCCGTGCCCAAGGGGAGCTATTTCTCCAAATCAACAATTCTGAAAACACCACTGAGAAGAAAATAACCAACTGAAATCCAAGCAGCCTCAAACAGTCACAGAAAACCCAGAGAATGGTGTTACACAAGCAGGACTGTGCTCCAGTGCGTGGTTCTTAAAGCCTGACACAATAACAAGCGAAGAAAGGAGTGCTGGGTAGTAGCAGATCCTGCTGGAATTTGTGTTTCGAGGCAGATCTTCGCTCCCTTCAGCCCCTGCATTCAAAGGGAACAAAAACTTGGAGGCAACAGGAGCTGGGAACGGAGCAGGGAGGATTTCCAGCTGCAAATGTCCCCTCCAGGGAATGGATGTGTGTACCTGTCCCCCACCCCAAATACCTCGGCCATTTGCTGCTTCCTCTGTGCCTTGGTGGCCTCAGTGTAAGCGTTGTGGTCTGTCTCAATGATGATCAGGTTGTTGCTCTCTGGGTGAATGACAAATTTTCGGGGTGTGTACTGCAACGGGAAGGCAACCTGGTTGAAGACTGCTCCCAGCTTCTCCAGTGCCAAAATCCTGGGGGTAAAAAGATGTGACATGTTGAAAGCAACCACCTGAGAGAACAAAACCAGACTTGAGCTTTACGTCTGTGAAACTGGCTAGTGCTGGAGACCAGCAGCACCTTTCTGAGGCCAGAGAGCAACTAGCAAACAGCTCCAGAGGAAAACCAGTAGCCTAAATGGGAGCCTCTGCTGGGCTCTCACTGTCCCAGGGTGCATTTCCAGCGGTGCTGAAGCAAGTCTGTCTCAAGAAGAACAAAGAGCGGAAAGGGAACACATCATCCAAATCCAAACGTGACACAGACTTTGATACGAAATCAAATGCTCCTCAGAGGCACTTTAGTTAAAGAGGATAAAAAGCGCAATGCCAAGTCTTTCTTCCTGTGACTTGCCAGCTGAGATGCCAGTTCTTCTGGCATTTGGTGACTAAAAACCACAAGACTCCAGAAAGAATGACTCCTTTAAAAGCACTGAATGCTGTAATATTTCAATGAGGACAGATATGAAAAAAGCGCCTGTTCAAGTGCATAAAGCAGAGCTCCTGAATGTGTGCTCCTCTATTATTTTCATCTATCTTTTTGATATCTTCTAAGCTGAACTTTAAAAAGGCAACAAATACACCCCTGTCATGATGTTGATTTCTTAAATCACGTGGCCTATTTTCTGCAAAGCAGTCAATTCAGATCACAAACCACAAGATCCCAATACACAACGGGTTCACATTTATTAAAAACTTCCCTCTCCAAGGATCAGAGATTTTGATCACAGAAGTGCACCTTATTTCAACACCATAAATATCCTTGTATTCCTATTTGTTTTCTGAAACCCATCCAAGTGTCTTATCAAATCATTACCCATAATCAAATAACCTCAAAAACTCCCTGTTAAACCACTGTACCTCTTTCCTTTTGAAAGTCCAGTGAGAACTCACCACCCCACCCCTCTGCCTGGCATCCCAGCCCAGCAGTATTTGTGTTCCCCCACCAGTTCTTACCTCAGTGTGTTTGTGGAGATGGCAACGATGCCCTCTGGGCACTGCTCAGAAGCAAAACCAGACGCAAACTCTAGTGTCTCATAAGACAGGGGAGTCAGGTGGAAGCGTGACTGATAGGAATAACTGAGCCAGGAGCGGCTGGACATGGCCAGCACCTGGGAAAGAGAAATTCATTAGTTCTGGGGATGGAGACAAGCTCACTCCCTGCAGCATGAGCGGATGTGCAGCACCAGACTCTTACCCACCAGAACAACTGACTCCTTGCGGGTGGACTCCACCCAGCTCAGAGCCTATCTTCAGAGATACTGCCTGCTTTCAAGAGTTTTATCTGGAAATTGTCTAAGGCATGAAGAGGAACTTTAAAGCACTATCAGGACAACAGGCACTCAAACTGAGGTGCAATAAAAACTGTTACCTGTAAAAGCCAAGATCAACAAATACTTTTATATCCCTTTTTTTTTTCCTTTTAAACAATAGCCTGCTCTAAGGGGAACAGGTCTTTTAAAAATAAATATTTACTGCTTTGTCACAATCCTAATGCTGAAATTTACTTAAAATAATCAGTAGCCTATTTTCAATCAATTTAAGGGAAACAAAGGAAACAAATGGATTTCAAAACTCTTCAGTTTTATACACTGGCTACATCCATTCCAGTGCAACTTTACTTTCTGCCTGAGCAACAAAAGCTGAAATTACATTGAAACGCTGACAGGCTACTCCAAGCCTACCACTGGCCACAAGCAGTATGTTTTTTTCTCTCCATATTGTGAGAGAAGGAACCAAGATTGATCTCCAAGTAGAAAAGTACTCAGCTATACGATAAACATTCTCTCCTAGCGCTGTAAAGCACCTCAGCTCCAAGTTACAGCTGGCAGATTGGCAGGAGGAAGTTGAAGAGATTCACCCAGCATACCCCAAGATTAAAGCAGAGCTCAGAATTCCAGATCCAGCCCCCTACACCGACCAGCAATATTTCTCAACTCTGAAGGTGTCATCCAAAAATGAGTCAAGCAGGGGGTGGCTGATCTCCCCAGTGTCACATCAGAAGGGCTGGAAATGGCATTTCTGATGAAACACATTCTTCCCTCTATGCCAAATCCTCCAAATATTTTCCCTAAACCATGCACAGCAGCTGTCCAGCCCCTGGCTGAGCCATTCTCAACATGCACAGGAGACAACCATCCACTGCATCAAGAAGTCAAGGGGCAAGATTTCTGCACAGGGTTCTTTCCGTCTCTGCACTGAGGCAGGCAAGACAAGGTTTTTCAGCATCTCTAAGCCCAAGAATCTGCTCAGAGCTTTCCAGACACGCTGCAAACACAGCCTATGGGTCAGGTAAGTCCTAGTTCAAAGAAGGCAGGGCAGCAGTACACATTACTTCTTACAGAAGTAAGGAAATGTCAACAGGAACAAGGCTGTTTGTGAAAGAGCAAGCTGCGAGCCAGGCAGCTCCGTCATGAAGTCATTCTACTTCCCACCCTTACCCAGAGGGTCCTGCTGGGCCGCGAGGATCCTTCCCCACCCTGGCCACCAAGAAGGAAAACCAGGATGCTGTGTCTGGGGACCGGATCTGCACCCCTCTGAGAGCCGGTCTCACTTACCGCCTCTTGGCCTTGCATTCGGACTCGGAAGAGTTTCACAGGCCGTGAGCCAAGGTACCTGGTCCTGGTATCGGAAAGATCGCCCGTAACGGGGTCCAGGACAGTTCGCAGCAGCACACCATTCTTGATATTGGCAAATAAAAAGTTACATCAAGATTACTGATAAGAAATAACCAGCTACAGCCATTATTCAAACCAGAGAGGCAATTTCTGAGGAAGTGTTTTGTTTTCCTAACTTCTGGAAACAATCCCTCTTACAACCACACCGTATCTAAAGTGGCTCTTAATATTAAAGAGCCTAGTTCCTGCACACCCCTGCAGGCCAGAAAGGAATTACTGTAAAACAAACCAACCAACCAACCTCCCCCCAAAACAAACAAACAAAAACCAAAATACAGACCAGGAAGTTTGGTGAATCACATAAACTATAAAAAAACCTGAGGGCTCATTCCAGATCCTAATCCCTCACTATTTACCCAAAAACTTGTGCTGCTTAAAAAAAGAGCTTGCATTCTGACATCAAACTCGAGGCATGTGAAAGAGCCTAGACTGCTCTGATTATTTTTACCACATGTTGGAATTCTCAAAACAACATTTTTTAGTCAAAGATCAGAGAGTCAGGACTGGATGTAACAAAAAGCTGTGCAACAGCAGAGTTATTAGAGCAGAGCCTGTGTTTGTGGGTAGTTACTGCTTTGATACTCTGCCCTACAGGCAGTTTTTAAAGAAGTGCCCAACAACATTTCACCCAAAGTTGGGTTTTTAAATTTTTTTTTAGAATGTACCCTCTTTCTGGAATGGAAAAAGCACAATCTGTCCTACACGAAGTCTGGGACAATACGGTGGTTTTTGACTAGTCTCAAGTCTAAGAATGTACGGGGAAATCTGCACCTCAGCTAAGCCACACGGTGGATTCCCCAGTCACAGTTGTTAAGTGTGTTGTAACAAAGAAGGAACAGTCAGGCTTTGTGTTGTACTGCACGGTGACAAGGCTATTACAGCAATCATCTTGCAAATGAATGTTCACCAAGAAATGCCTGTCAGAACCAGGCAGGCCCCTCCCACCTGCAGTCCAATGTTCAGGTACAGAAAGCCGATGGAGCCTCTCTCCCCCAGCTCGTCCTGCTTCTCTGTGCCACCCATCTCCACAATACAGAGAGACTCGGGCTGTGCAGGCAGGGCCTGCATACTCAGCGGCTGTAAGCAATCCTGGGGGAGACAGAAAAGAGGTATCCCAGCAGTTAGCAAGGCTTGGCACTGCAAGAGGGGATTCAAGCTCCATCTAAGGAGCTTAAAGATGTGCATTTACATCTCCATAAAGAAGTATTCAGCACTGAAAAAAGAAAAAAAAAAAAAGGAAGGCACAACAGACACTGGCTCAGTAGATTTTGGCAAGCAGGAGTGGCTGCAGCCCTGGGGTTTGGAGAAGATAAACTGGATCCTTCCAAACTGTTCTAGCACAGTTTGCAGCTATTTAGCATGGAGAGACCCGAGCAAAGTTTATGTTTCTTCAGTCATCCTTGGAACCCTCATCTGCTGCAGGAAGAGGAATGCTGGTTTAGAGTTAGCAGCTGGTTTGCTGCTAACCTGCTTGTGGAATGAGTCTCCTTTTCCTACAGGTATAAATAGTGAGACAGGGAAAAAAAACAACTCTAAAACAAAACAAAAAAAAAGAAGAAAATGCTTTCCTGTCTCATCAGCTGAACCTCCAGGCAGATGTGAGACTAGATCACACAAGGAAGTCTGCTATAGGTTAGGATCAAGGGCCATGCTTCCTCCCAACCAGCAAAGAAAAGCCATGCAAGCTGTTCCTTCCTGGTCATCCACCTGAATACAGAAAGGCAGCTGGGATGGACACAGCCCACTTCTGCAGTACCCCTGTGAACACTGCAGGGCAACAGAAGAGGCAGAAAGAGCACAGCTACTCACCGAAGGGTCAAGGGAAATAATTCTGACAGTGTTGTCCACCAGCCCAACAGCAAGGAACCGGGAGCGCTGCTCCCCAGGGGGGACGTTGGCCAGGCTCATGCACACGACGTCGGCCGACATCTCCTTTCTCTCCGTGTACTCATTCAGCTGTCCTGACTGAGACAGGAAAACACAAGAGACTTATTGACCAGCCAGTGGGGCAAACCAGCACCAAAACACCTCTCCACACCTCTTTTTTTTTTTTTTTTTTTTTAAAGTTAGTGCTTTGGATTTTTTGTATTTTTTAAACTGTTTCTTTACAGCCTTATTTCAGCTGCACCTGGAAGAACCAGAATAGCAATAGGATAAGTAAACCACTTCCAGCCTCAGTTACGAACTTCAGAGACTTCAATTAGCCACTAAAACCCCTCAGACAGAGAGAGTCCAGGCATGGAGGGCTTTGATCTATCTGTTCTAGGACACTCCACCACAGAGCTCTCTTCTGCAGGTCTGATCAAGGATCACTCTCTGGCATGCCCCATACTCTGCCTTGCTCCTCCAAACTCCTTCACAACATTAACACATGTACCGGGTCCATCTCGAAGTAAACCAGTTCTCCTCCAGTCAGTGCTATCACCACTTGTCTCTGGTTCACAGCACATTTTACAATGGTTTTCTTCCCCGGTGTCTTCCATTCATTTACTCTCTTATCTGCTCGGATGTGTCGGATCCCATCTGGATAAACCTGAAGGAAAAAAAAAAGCTCACATCAATTCTGTATTTACCATCCCTTCACAACTCCCGTCTCACTGGTGATTCCAACACAGAAAGCCAAAGGCAAGCACCCCTCCTGGCAGCAGTGATCCATTAGCTATGCAACAGGCTGAAATAGCACCAAGCCACTCGCCAGCTGGAAGCACCACATCTCTGAACTACAGCACAGAGCTACTGAGCGTGCACTGAAGGAGATGAGGACCCTCTTCAGCTGGTCCAGTTTCACTCAGCAGGATATAAAAAGGGAAAGGCTGAGTTAAGAGTCATTCTCTGCCAATCCACACCTTTAGATATGACATAGGTTGCACTACTGTAGAAACCATGGCTATGTAGCAAGCAGAGAGTGGTAGATGTAAGCAGACATGTCAGAAGCAGCTTTTCATTACCTGTACCAAAGCATCATCACCAAGAAGAGAGCAGGACAGGGTGGGTGTAGTACCCAGGAATCCAGAGTCAGTCACTTCTTCTACAGTCTCTCCGATAGACAGCACCAGCGTGGCATTTACGAAGGACACAATGATATAGGCATCAAACTCATCTGGTCAAGGGAGACAGGGAAAAAAGGGGTGCTGATTAAATAAATGCAAGGCTTCCCAAGAAAATTATCAGTCTGACAGATGTTTAGCAGTTACTCTTCAGCAGCATTCCAGTGATAATTACATTTGCTGGCAGTATTGTGCAAGTTCGTTCTAGGACACATTGTCCAAAAGCCAGCCACTGCTAGATCCAAACAATGTGAGACTGAGCCAGGGATCAAATGGTGATCCAGATACAGGGTCAACTCACCAGCCTCTGGATTCTGGCAAGAAAGACTCCTGCCTACTTTTTTTCAAAGACAGCACGAGGTCTAGAATCCTTTAGGACACTTGCCCCACCTCACACCAGGAGCTGAATCCAGATTTAACAGCCAATGAAGTCAAACGAACTGCTCTACTCTGAACACATGAAACTCATCTGCAGAAACCACATCACGGATGCTGCAAACAGGAGGTCACAGGACCACATCTCTATCCAGTATCCACATAATAAAAGGCTACGAAGAAGGATCAGGGTGCTCTGCAGCAGAGGAGCTCAGGGTTAGCCTGCTCTACCCTCAGCCAGAAGCTCAACCAGGGTATGTTCACACAGCCACCTGTGCAGTCTCCTGGGATGAGAAACAATTAAGTTTTAAAGACAGAGCAAACAATGACCTTTGCTTCTGCTGGAATAAGTGAGAGTGTTGCAACTATTATCTCCAGTAACAGCTTCTCCCAGAAGAGACAGCCTGGGAGAGTCCAGTAGCTTGGACATGGAAGAGCTATGCTAATCAAAATAGTCTTGAGATGTCATTTGGAAAAAGGGAGATTTTGTGGGAAGCAAGGGTAGTAGGACTGGGCAAAGGGACTGCCCCCGTTTACTGCTGTCCATTTTCATTCTGCACAAAGTGACAGGCATTAGAGAGGGGGAGAGTCTCATTAAAATAGAATTAAAAAAAGCAACGGAAACAATGAAGGCTGTTGGGAAATGGAGCCAGGAGCCTCGGTGGAAAAGTAAGATTGCCTCAGAGAAGCAGCTCCACTTCTGCTGCTGTTGCCATGCAAGTGCTAGTTCTTAAAAAGAAAAAAAAATTCCCCATTTTAACCCAACTCAACCCAAAGCTCAGACTGATGCACCACAGCACAAGACAGTTAGCAGAAGCGAGGGTGTAAGAGAGCTGTCACAGTTTTTGCCCTTGAGCAGAGTTTCTCCATAATCTGTAGGAGAGGTGGAGAAGTGGCTAATGACTCTCTAAGAAGAGAAAGCAAACAGAGAACTCTCACAGGACGAATACAGGATACCAGCAAATACCACACAGTGGCTTCAAGAAACCCAACTGGGTTAACTGAAACACACGCTTCAGGAACTGATCCTTTTCTTATCCACCCTGTTTAGAGGGAGGTGCTGCCAAACCTGCTGTGTCACGTTTGTAACAGAAGGTTCTTACATACAGCTGAAAATATGCAAGTGAAAAAAAACACCCCACCATTCTTTTCTCCAACATCTGGTATACAGACCACAGCTCTGATCAAACTGAAGAGCTTTGTATAATTAAAGCAATTCCAACAGTGGTTTGTGGCATAAACTCTGTTTAAACTACTCTATTAAGTGGTCACAGCCTGTAACCTCCACACGCTCCCAAACCCCACAAACAGGAGCGGCTCCACTTGGGGTAAATGAGAAAACAAGAACTGAACCTGCACACAGAAACTGATTAGTAATGCCAAATATTGAAACTCTTGGCTTAACAGGACAATTTCTCCAACACTAACAGCAGATGGGAAGAGTTCAGAAGATGTACACCATCACACACTGCTTATTTTCTACACTAAATAGCAGCTCTTCTACAAACTTGCATGATTTTTCAACACCACAGGTCTATAAGAATTCCTCGATCGCTTTAAACAGAGGTTTGAGCAGTTCACAGGCTAAGCATTTAATTCATAAATATCCTGTAAGACAGGAAGTTCTAAAAATTCCATTTCCAAGACAGTCGCTGCTTTCCAAACTCCTTGAGAGCTGCTGCTGCCTTCCTCCCTGGGGAATGTCATTCTCATGACAAATCACCACTGTCCCAGCTGGAGGCTTAACCATGTGATCTGGAGCAGGACAAAGAGCTCCCATTTGAAAGCGAAACAGATTCCCTTAGTCCCAATCTAAACAAAAACTCATTCCTACCTCTTAATACTTTTCTAGCTCTTTCTTTTCACTGGCTTACAATTATATTGGAGCGTGCCTTTAAGCCTGTGTCAATAATAGTGACAAGTGCATTTCTGCTTCAAGTTCAGCAGCGCTGCTTAATGCCTCTCTGCTGGAGATTTTGAAATAAAGGGTTTGATTTCCCAGAATAAAAGTCAGTGAATAAGACACATTCATCTAAATTTAAACAATGCAATTTTGGTTTAGAAAATAGAGCAGCTTACTTGAAATCAAGAGGACTAAATCCCTGGGGCACACTGAGAAGTATTCTCAGTGAAAAGAAAAAAAAGAAGAGATTTATAGATTTTAATATGAAAAGGGACCTACTTAGCTCTACACAATCTCAAGCCCAACATCAGGCTGCCCAGAGTTTTGAACGGATTTTGTACGCAGACACAAGACTTCAGAGATGCTTATTAATGTTCTAATTGCCCCAGTTAGCTCCTTCCAACGACTAAGAGAGACATTTTAATAACTCTTGAAAAACCACAGCTGGACACACTCTCCCGGGCCTTCATTACCAAGTTTTCTGCAGCTTCATGCACATGTCACAACCAGTTATGAAAACATCCCATTTCAGCCCATGAACTCTATGCTACTGTCCTTTTTTTTTTAATTTGCCATGGACTCAGTTTGAGTTAGTCCATGAGAATTCCATTCTTGCACACCAGTCCACACCTGATACAGTTTTTTTTCACACTCCACAGCATCTGAATTAGCATTGATACAAATGCAGCCACCACTAGCCCAGATTTGCTCAGTGAACAAGCAGCTGAGCAGTGACAAAACTCAGGATTATTCTCACTTAAACAACACTAATGGGATGACAGCACACTTTTCCTGGGCTTCTGTTTACTACTGCATGGAAACTCCGCAGCTGTGACTCACTGCACATTGCTTTCCATGAACAGTGCCAGGTAGGGAATGCAGAATTAGGTCTCAGCTCTCATCTATGCACACAGCCATCTAGCTCCCCAGCCCTCAATATTTAACTGTGAGAGAGGGTTTGGTCTGAATCCCATCCACTTTATCTGATGGGCAGATGAATTCCATAACCACAGGGCAACCTCATGCCAGCAATACCTACAGGTGCTTCAAGAACACTCGATCGCTTTCTCTTGGAGAAGCAAAGCAGCTGGGAGCCAATCCTCAGTCTAGAAAGGAGCTGAAAACACCCCAGAAACGTGCACCTCTGGTTTCATCAAGAACTGACCGTTATGCAGAGCAGAGACACAGTTGATTAGTTCATTCCCCAAAGACTGTAAGATGGAATGGGAGTTGCTTCCTACTCCTCAGCTACTGAACTGCAAAAGCAACAACCTCCAGCTACACAACAGCTTCCAGAATTCATGTACTGAAAAGCTTGGTGTAAAAGTAACCCCAGGATTTTGGGATTCTCTGCAGTTAACCTGTGGGACGGTACAGCAGACCCTAGCAGTAGGTACACACCTGTGGTGATCAGCACCTCCACCACCAGCCACCTGTGGAAGAAAAAAAAAGGCTTGGTATTGGTAGTGTGTATCACCACGTACCAGCCAAGGTTAGTATTTGCTCTGGAGGCTGCAAACCTGTACGCGTCTTACAGAGGCCTTGCAGTACGCGCACGCTGCGGCATCGAGGCCGCCCGACACGGCACACTGAACACTCAAAAACCAGCACTTGGGCACTTTTGAGATTAGATACATATTTAAAAAGGTATTTCTGATTAAAACCCACTACAACTGTTTCTGAACTCAAAGAGTTGTAACGTGGGGGTGGGTTTTACATAACTTTAAACTGTAATTAAAACGTAGCGTGGTTCACAACAGATAGAGATTCCAGCTTTTCTGAAATCATCGGGATCTTCAGGCTGGAACCTGGAGAATTTAGGAGGGAGGGAAAAAAAGAGGCAGCGAGACTGGTCTGTTTCGTGTAGGTTAGCAATGGTCCTCCATCTCCTGAAAAGTCAAAGTCATCCTCTGAAACACCAAGAGAAAAGGTTTTAAAACTGTAAGGTGATGTGAAAAGCCTCCATCTCATAGAGGGAGCAAACACTGACAACTGCTTTTCCAGAAAGCAGGAGCATGAGTGTCTCCAGCAAAGTGGAATGCTTCTTTTAAGAAAAGCATGTGGTTTTGATATGAACTGTGGAAATATTTTCGTTCTGAACCTTTTATTTCTGAGGAACATGAAGGCACTTGGTGCTCAAAGCCCCTTCCACGCTGCTTAGGCAGTTCATGAGTCTCAGAACACGAGCACAGGAATTGATGGCAGGTCTCAGATGACAAGGTAAACTCCACAGCAATGTCTGAAATTCCCACAGGGTTCCTGCCTCCCTGGAAGACACACTGCTCTACGATTGCTTAAAAACAAGATACCATGTCACTAGCAGGCTAAGGTCTCCACTGCAACAGTCTGGCATTTCTGTATCCAGTGCATAAACCTATAGCAAGCCTTTGCAGGATTTATACAAAGCACTGACTTGGAAATAATCATGGAGACTGTCAGTGCCCAGAAGAGATTAATTTCAGGGTTTTTAGGTGTTTCTGAGGCACTCTGCTTTCAACCACAAGGGAAAGGCAGGACAAAGGGTTACATTTCCTCTTGTACTTTAGTGAGACAAACCCATTATTTCAGATCAGGAAAAAAATCCCCAAGCCCACAATCCAATATATTTTGCCAATTTCAAATCTTGACCTTCCTGGAATTTGCAACACCTATATACCCTGCTGGGTTTTTGAACTGGAGCGTGTCCTAGCCCCAACAGACTGTTTTCTTTGCAGATAAGCATAGAGGGAAGTAATAAAATACAGACACTGTCGCTGATTTATCTGCTTTGTTCTGTAATTTGTATCCCTGTCTTACAAAGAGCTGATTACTGTAGCTGTCAACACACATATAAAGAACAGTGAGCTCTAACAAAAAGCATAATCACTGCCTGCTGATGTCAGAGCAAGAACTTCTGGGAAGCACAAGGGAAAGGATGAGAAGTTCAGCAGCTCTGGGCTACAAACAAACAGCTGATGCAGCACACGGGGCGATGGACACAGCTGCAGGTAGGTGCTTCTTTGTCAAAGGGAAGCATGATAATTCAAGGGGACAAGAGGGTGGCTTCCAAGTACAAACAGGTGGTTTCTGATTCAAAACATAACTTTTGGGGATGGCACACAACCATCACGTACATCAGGCGGTACCTTTCCTATCTCCTCAGACAAAGAAATGAAAAAACTCAACAAACAAAACACACCTAAGAACACTTATCACCTCCCTGTGCTTTAGGAAAGTATCACATACCTTCAACGTGTCTCCTCACGGTCCATACAGCGTTGGGGTTACCAGGCAGCTCCGAGACAGCCATTTCAGACACCTACAAGTAAACAGGAAAAAGATTCTTTTGCAAACAGATGTTTAGACTTACTACACTAAGTCACGAAACCACCAGCAGTTTTTAAGCTTTCCCACAACTAGGCAGGACAGCTAATAACTCCCAATCAATCCGTGCGAGATGTGCTACAGGGCAAAATATATTCAGCAATGATACAGCAACATCAGAGCTCTGGATAATCAGCTTTAAAACAAGGTCACTCGCCCTCAGCAAAGAGATCAGCAGCAGCAGCTGGCACAGACACGGGGAATGTTTTCCAGCTCAATACACTCAAGCTTTAGAAGAGACAAAATGCAGGTGGTTGGAGTCAAGGGAACAAAAAGCCTTTGAGATGTAAGAGTAAAAAGCACTACCCTTCACCTTCCAAGTAGCAAACCTAGAGAAAGCTGCTCTCTCCAGACTACGGTAAAAAAGAGAATCCCTTCATTTCAGCACCTTTATTTCAAGATTTTCTCTCACTGTCCTCACCTCTCAAGCTGTTCTTCTAAAGTGCTGGAAATCTCACCTCAAGTCCATGTCTTAGAACCCTCAGAGACGACCGGGGCCCCCGACCACAAGCCACATACAACTGGGGTGTGTCTTCATTGGCCAAATCCGCTATCTGCGTGGAGAAATAGTGTCAAACAACGTCCACAGGAAAATAAAACTAAGCCATATATGCCACACTACTGCTTTAAGAATGGTTTGTTTTCTGGTTTGGTTTTTGTTTTGTTTTGTTTTTTTTTTTCAAAACACTGAAAATACTGAAGATGCCATAGGGTGCACCATCTGCTGCCCTGAAATAACATCAAGTTTTAACCAAACCCTCTGCAGAGCAGAGAACTGGTCTGATGGTCAACAGAGGAGCAGCACAGCTCTGCTGGCTGACACGCCGTGTCCAGATATATATTTATCACCACGGGAATCTGACTAACAGGAATCTAACAGGCCAGGTTATCAGTCTTGGGCAGCTGTCTGAGAACTCAGCAGACTTCCTTTTCTATCAGCATTTAGTACAGAGCAGTATTTCTGAAAACCTGGGATAAAGTAGCTTTGGTGCTTCTGCTTACACACAAATACTCTGCAGAAAAGCAAATCAAAAAAATCCTGCATCTCTGATGAACTCCTCTGTCAATGTGAAACACTTAATTACGTGGTAAACAGGAGCTTGCTGATGGCAATGTACCTGACAACACAGAATAGGAGACAAACTGTCCAACTCATCCACCAGCACCAGGTTCTTGAGAGGTCGTGGCTGAAAAAAGAATGTATCTCCTTCCTCAAGAGGCATGGCAGAAGAAAACTCTGGCTCCTCATCATCGTCACCCAGGTGAGCTATCTGGTACAGATAACTTGAGACAGAAAGCAAGAACACCATGTTCAGTGCAAAGCTCGTGTAGCCTTCTCTAAGTAAGGCTTAGCCAGATATTCAGGCAGTGGGGAGGAGAGAAATCCTTCCCTACAGCATACAGCTATTAAAATTTAGCCTTAAGGATTGTCTTGGTGAAAAAAAATGTTTAAAGGGAATCAGAGGCCTGCAAACAAAAAACCCACCACAACCTTCCCTCTCCACAAACCTTTCAGTTTGTAGCTGTCACTGGCAAGCTGTCCCAGAGTTTGTGTGTTCTCTCCGTTTACCCTTGAGCCTTTCAGATACTGTGTTAGAGCCAAAGCACCAACTGACAGCCGAGGCCAAGAGCAAGGCCAACGGTTAAGACTGTAACTCCACAATTATCTATTTTATTGGAATACTCTCACTTCACTATTTTAAACCACATTCCATATGCCATTTTATGAGCCTAAATATCACAACAATCAAATTAAACTTGAGAGAGAGAGAAAAAAATGAAACCAGAAAGACAGACTGATTTACTTCCTGGTTTTAATAAAACTCAAATGAACATGGCTTCCTCAAGAGCTTGGTTTATACAACCCAATTCAGATTCACTCCAGTTAACTGGCTGGAGCTCCCCCAGGTGGCTGAGTCCAGATGTAGTCAGAAAAAAAACCCAAAAGTATTACTCTCCATTTCTGTAAATCCCCTAGCTAGACACTGTCAAGCCATCTTCAAATGTGTGCAAAGTCTTCTTTAGAATATTCTAGAACCCCAAACATGAATTGAGAAAGCCCTCAAGCACACACCTATTAAGGAAAGGATCAGAGGTACTGATAACAAACCCTACCTGCTTCTGAGTGGGCTGTAACACACAGAAGTTCAATGAAAACTGATGAAACTAATTAAAAGATAATTCATCTGGTTACATGATGGACCGTGTACAAACTGCAAGTGCTCAATTCTTCCAAAACCTACTGCAGCAGCACATAATCTTTCCTTCTCTGCACTATAATATCTAATCTGGGGTCAAACAACATGAAAATCCCCCATTCAGTCATAATCTAAACCCAACTGTTCTGCTCAAGCAGATCTGTAATGTGAACAAAGCACTAGTTTACCCATTAAAATAGAGGTGTTGTCTTTATATGTTGAGTAAGTTCAAGGGTCAGTTTGCAGCCCTGAACAGAAAGAATCTGTTCCAGGGGAGAATGCTGATGTAAAGTTGCTTACTTACTGGTTTCCGAATTCGGATGCCACAAAGAGGAACCCGGTTTTCAGCACACACATGGCAGCAGCAACAGGAACAGTATCAAAGTACTTGAGTCGAATCTCGGTTACCTGAAAGGAGAAGGCGAAGTGACTGTGTTACCAAAGCACTAGAGCTGCACATGTGTGATAAGATTAAAAAAAGATGCCTGGCTACCCTCTCCAAAGAAAGGAAGCAAGAGAGTGGGCCAGACATAACCACATCAGTAGTCCTGGGCAGCAGGTTATAAATCACAAAATCCAGCAGATTATTCCAAACACACAAGTCAGACTGTCTGTTTTATTCTAAGACCATCCAGCTTTGGTAACAGTGAGTCAGTTTGGAAAAAAACAGCTGTGAAAACAGCAAATTATGTAAAAGAAAGAAATTTGCTTCAGTGAACACCAGCCATTCCCCAACACGTGAAAAATTAACTCTCCTGAGCAAACGTCTACATTTGATACAACGGCAACAGCTCTTGGTGAAACATCCAACAACAATCTTAAGACACTTAAAAGATGCTACACAATCATCCCTTCTACCAAATTGAACATATTTAGATGAAGGAGAAACTAACATTCAACATTTACTCAAAAAAAATCCAATTGATTCACCACAGGAGATATTTTAATTGCAAAATCATAAGACAAGCAGCAGCAAGCCACCTCAAACTTGATATTTCAATTCATGGATCAGCTGTACCAAGCTGATCCGCAAAGAGATTGATTGCAGCATTTAAATATTCAATGAGGAGATGAAACAGAGAGCACCTGCTGTGATCAAGAGAAACTAAGTTCCCCAGAATTAGTTTCTGGAATACCCTCTTGCAGGTTCATGGACCACACTTTACAAAACATCTTTTGAAGAGAGGACTGCCTGCACAACACCTAAAATGTGCCCAACTGACTCTGCAGCGTAATTCTCACAGGATTTTGCAAACCTTGTGTCTCTATGTGAATAAACACCAGTTACAACTGTGGCTGTAACTATTACAAATCACATAAAACATGTGCCATTACACAGCTGAAACCACAACACTAAGTATGTATCAGTTTGGAGAATCATAAGGATTCTCCTCAATGAATGCTCTTGTTGTTCTTCACGTGATGCTTACCATGTCTTCATCTGTCTCCAGAGTAATTTTGAAGATGTCTCCCTGCTCTGTCTGGGCCAGGAAGAAGAACATGGACTTGGTCTTATGTGTAGCAGAGCAGACAAAAATCATACCTCTCTCTGGGTCATCCAAGTCATTCTGTCAGGAAAGCAAGCAGAGGTCATGGGTGGAATTACCCAGCAAGTGCAGATGTGATTTCACTGACTGAAACATTTCCATTTCAAAGGTGCCTTAAGAGCTGACAGTAGGTGAAGAGGCTTTTAACATAAAGCTGTAGTTAACCCTTGGTACATCGGTGCCCCAGAAGGAAAGACATTTCTAAGACACTGCCCTGAGCATTTCCTCTCCTGTTGCTGCCCTCCTCCCTGGAAAACTCACACACACCAAAGGCAAACCCAGAGGCAAGGGCTGCAATCCACACAGAGCTGGTTTGGAGCACCTGAACCTTGGCAGGTGTTCAAAGCACACAACCATCTGCGATCGCAGAGGAGGAGGAAGCAGCCTTAGATGCTGCTGAATTCACCTCCGTACAGGACGGCAACCATGACTCAGCACCTCAAGTCATCCTACCTTACACCGACAGCGCTGCCACTGCGGTGCCTGATCAGAGTCTTTGGAGTATCTCCAGTATAAATCTCAGAGAAGAGACATGAACCAAGCTCATCACTTCAGGCTATGGCCACCCCCATCTTCCCTCACAGATCACACACACAGCCAGGAAGGCAGAAACTCCTTTTTCCTTACTTTAGATCCTCCCTGACACCTTTAACTTTGAAAGGCAAACACCAAGTATTCATTCAGCACTGAAAAAGATCAGCTTAAAAAAAAAAAAAGGGTAGGAATCCCAAAATTCTCACCCGTCTCCTGGGAATTGGGCATCTGATATCAGGCTGGTCACCGAAGTTTTTATAAGTAATATAGTTTTCAGAACAGATCAGCACCCCGCTTGGTCCATCAGAACCACCAGGAACTGAAAGGTGAAAAAGAAACATGATGAGAAAAGTTCTTCCCACAGATCTGCCTGCAGAACACTTATTTTGGTTTCCTTTAAAGCAACTTAAGTTTCCACTGCCATGTATCCCCCTGCATATATAAATCTGCTCTTACTGAAGGGGAAAAGATGGAATACAGCTTCCTGTGTTGGTGTAAAAACAGGGCAGATGGAACAGGGTGACCAGGAAGGAGAAAAAGGAAGGATGCAGCTTCAGACAGATTGCTTCTGTTTTATCCTTCATGTCTTCCTCTTCTCTAGAAAGCCACTACATGCCCAAAATACCACATACTTGTGAGTTAAACACAACCCTTGTGTTACTGACATGTTTGCTTGCTGTCAAAAAAAATTCCACCGGATGGTTTTCTGACACATCTTTCATTTTTAGAGTATGTTTTTAAAAATGCTTCTATCGAGATCCCAGTACAATGAAAGATATGAAAATAGTAACAGTCGGATCCAGCCCAGCATTTGGTGTCTGACAGCTGCCTGTGGAAAATATAAGAGGGCAAGCACACCAGGATGCTCTCTAGCTCAGCTTCCTTTGTGCTGGCAGAGCAATCTGCAGTGGTTCAGTTTTCCAGGTGGAAGGTTTTAGGTTAGTCTTACATCTCATCCCTGTAAACAGGCTTTTAGTCCATGGATTCACCTCTTCCCCTTTGAATTGTGTATTAGCTGATAGAATCTCGTGCAAAAGAATACAACACCTACGTGTTACCTAAAAATACACAACTTTGTATCTGCTACCAGCTAGTTTCAGTTAGTATCTCTGAGCTGAGGAATCCAGAGAACATCCAGAATAAATCTAAAAGAAGAGAGATGAGGAGCAGTTTCAAACCGCAGCTGTATCTATGAATCCTTATACATTGCCCTGTGTGAACCACCACTCATTACCTCACTTCAAGGTCAATTAATTTATGCTAATAGCTCAGACTACCATCAAAACAACTCCCAAGATGTAAAGCGTATTGATTCTGTTTCCCTGGGGAACAGGAATCAAGTAGATCCACAGGAAAATGACTGAGCAGTACCTGTTATAAGGAAGTTGCCGTGCTCTTCCAAGGGCTCACTGTATTTCCTCACAACATGGTTCAAACCCAAGTCCAGTTCATAAAACGTCAAGGTCTGTTGTGTGTTGGCTGCTGCTTCTCCTGTGGGATCGTTGTCTGCTTCCTAAAACAGAACACACAAAGGTGTCTTCCAAGAAAAGTATTAAAGGAGGAGCAAAGCTGCTGCATGGGGAAGCAGTTTTAAGTAATGTTAGAATGAAGTCCTAAAGATTTGCTAGAAGATGCACAAAAAAAGGTTCAGAGGAAGAAAACGTACAGCAGAACAGCAAGAATTTAAGAAGAATCACCAAGACACAAGAGACTTGCCTATTCTGACTGAAGGCAAGACAAAAAGCACACAAGCTCGTGACAAATTGTCTCCAGACAGCAAAAGCAGCCAATGCTCCCCGCCTCCACTGACGGGCTAAGGACAGAAGAGGAACGACAACGTTCAAAAGGCAACGAAGGGAGATGAAGTTCTCACCTCGTAATCCATTTCCAGACAAGCAAACATCGGGTTTTCAAATCCCACATCAACTCCCACCACGTGGTAGACCAAGGTATTGGCCTTGTGGGCTTCCAGCGGGGAGGAGATGGTCAGACGAGCAGCAGCATCTCTGTTCAAGATATACACCAGCTTCTGCTTTTCAATAGCACCTGCAAGGAAAGGACACCAGCGCCTGGTGATCAGATCTAAACGGACCTGCAGTCCAGTATCAGTTATAACTCAGCAAGAGAACGTCAACCTTCCTTCTGCTCACGTTCACCATTGGTATTTCTCCCTGTGCCACCAATGAACTTTGAATGGCTCATTTGAAATGGCCGCAAGCACAAGTGACAACCCCAGCTCTTTAAAACCAAAGACTGACCCTTTGAGTTACATCCATTCAGCCCAATATTCCACCTACAACGGCTACAGGCAGATCTATCTCCCTGGAGGTGTTTAAGTCCAGGCTGGATGAGGCTTTGAGCAACCTGGTCTAGTGAAAGGTGTCCCTGCTGATGGCAGGGGGGTGGAACTGGATGATCTTTAAGGTCCCTTCCAATCCAAACCATTCTATGATTCATTCTATGATACTCACTCATTCCACCCCACGGGAGATGACAGACTGCAGGGAAGGAGGAACAAACTGAAAGGAGCAGCCAGATGCTCCACTGTTTGAAGCCATTTGGCAAGAAAACCTTTCCTCAGAAATATTTTAACTAAAAAAATGTATTCTTGCCCAATACACAGCATCCACAACACAACAAACACTTGCCACTCTTAACTCTCAACCTGAGTGGCGCAATTGTGACTGTGTCACCTTCTCAGCCATGAACACGAGACTTGCAAGAAAGGAAACAATATTTATTGTTATTCCTGATATAAAGGACCACTGTTAAACTACTAATCACTGCAAGTGCCCGCTCTCAACGCGTAGGAAAGCAGCAACACAGAACATTGGCTTTGGCAAACAGAGAGTTCACGTACCAAGTAACTAAGACACTTCATGGTCAATCTGAGAAAAAAACCTTAGAAAGAATCACCCAAGTGTTGTTCTGCCTGGGAAGCCTGACCAGAAATGCAGCTGGCTGTCTCCACAACACACCTCAGAGAAGAGACATGAACTTGTAACATCATTTCAGGCTAGGGGAGCTGACTGGCTACACGGCAGGACAGACACCTGCAATCCCAACTCCTCTCCCAGACTTCCCACGCCAGGGCTGTCCGCGCACCGCTAACCAAGCTGGCCGCTTGCCAAATCGTTTTTGGCCCAGCGGTTAGAATTAATTGGTGTGATTTCATGAGCGTCAAGGAACTATTTTGAAGGCCTGCATTCTCCTTTGAAGGCCTGCATTCTCCTTTGAAGGCCTGCATTCTCCTTGACACGTCTCACAGCCTAACAAACTGCCTGAGAAAAAAACCCACTTCTAATTATACCTGGCAGAGACTCACTCCAAAACAAGTATCCTCAAGACAGGGAAAAAAAAATAAGGGGG